CAAATAATAAAACAGACATGATAAGTAGGAAGAGGTTAATGAGTTCATTACAGTTTTTAATAACAACAAATGTTATGTTACTGTCAACTTTGTTTGTAGCGTAATTCCATTACTTTCATATCCGATTCCTGTTAGAAGTATATGTGAATGTTTCGTGTAATACACAACAACACAAGCTGCCTGTAGATGCATAAGGTGTCAAGTATGATTTCTTACATACAACACTGTAAATAACAACGCAGTCTGTCTGTATATGCTAAAGATGTAGAGTATGATTTCTTATATACAACACTAATGAACAACTCAAGCTGCCTGTAGGTGCTAAAGATGTGAAGTATGATTTCTTACATACAACGCCCAACACAACAGCGCAAGCTACATGTAGATGCTGGACATGTGGATTATGATTTCTTACATACAGTGTTCTACACAATAACGCAAGCTGTTTGTAGATGGTTTTCTAATGATTCTATATCATGCAAGACAATGTATTTTATAGAAAAACAGTTATAATTGACCCATACAGTTATACTGCTGCACAAATATGAAAAAAGTACATAAGAAATGTAGCTACTACATAAAATCAATGTATTATTACTAAATAATGTAATGACAGTGTGAAACTACTTCGTACTTACTGGAAAGAAAATACAAAAGGAAGCTTAATAAATTGACTCGAAACGGTATACTTTGTTCAATTAATTTTATTATATTTAAATAGAAGTTCATCAAAACAGAGATTTGTGGAAAGTCCACTAAAACTGAAAACTTTACTATATTTTAATAAAAAATCCAATAAAACAGAGAATTATTATAATTGAAAGCCTACTTAGAATGGAAGAGCCAACTTATATTCAGATGAAACTCCAAGTAGGAATATTTGTTTGTTGGTGTAGTGTTAAGCCCAAAATTACACAATACCGACAGTATCAAAACCCGAATTATAGCGTTAGAAGCCCTCAAACTTACCGCTGCGTCAAGTAGAATACAAGTGTGCTTGTATTCGCTTTTAAACTCCTATAGGTCGTGACGTTCTTTTTTTTGGATTGATAAAAAAGATCGCTATATGTATTCTTGCATTAATGTTAATGCGAATGAACGGCCTTTTAATAAGAAAAGTAATATTTTTAACAGCTGTTTTAAAGATATTGGTCTAGAAAAAGCAGGAAATGACATGTATGCATATTGTTGTGACGTGTTCTATCGTTTGACGGGTTCTTTTGGATTATTTGACAGAAATAATGCCAAGTCCAGTCCACGTAATAATAACGAATTTATTTATTATTTCAATAACCTTTACTACAGGCTACGTCCACCTTAACACAAATTGTAGGCCTAAGTTCACAAACAACCTTTTGACATAAATTCTAAGACTAATGGTACGTACATCTAACATTCTTATAAACCTAACTCGCAAGGCTAATCGATTAAAAAATACGTCAAATCACTGGGTAACTGAGTAGCCGAATAAAAGTGATAACTCTCCCTTTTAACATTGAATAATATATTTGACACTGAACTGACTCAATCGTTGAATATTCACTAAATATTTCATAAACTTCTCATTAACTGATTGATCCTGAACGGAATTCAATCATCATTGACTGCTCATATTATATCGTGTTCTTGTTTCTACATATTACACAATGCTTTTTGAGCCTTAACTTTATGAAATTTTAGTGTATGTATTAATATTTGTTTGAAAAAAAATACAGAATAATTGGAATTTTTAGTTTGCCATTTTGGCAAAGTATGTACTTAATGAGTTCAAGCAAACCAGTCGCAGCAGTGAGATGTTTATATACCCCCCTTTTTTGCACATGTGATTTTTTTTCTTATTTTAAAATCGAAGCACGTGGTTGCCCTCTCGTTTTACTCCTAGGGCAGCGAACGTGCTGTAGCCTGACTACCTCGTTGTGTTCTTGGTCGCACTTATCTGCATAATCAGCATGTTTGAGTTGAAAAAAGAAAAATATAAAAAAACATACTCGTTTTTATATGAGACCAGTCGCGCAAGAACCTGTTCCAAGGAGCAGTTAGAGAATCTATACGCCCGTGAGTGGAGTCGGTTCCTGGCAGTGACATCAACTAGAGAGCACGCCTTCCTTATGGAGCTTCAAATCACAGGGTGGGTGGATAAAAACAAACCTGCTTAGCTGGTTTTATCTCTCTCTCTTTGTCGATTTTTTAAACAAACTGTTAAAAATAGATAGATAGATAGATAGATTTACGTGCTCTTGCTTAAACCGAACTCTGGGGTTGGCCAATCTGACTAGCTAGCTTACGAAAGAAAGGGTTACAGACTGCATTAATAGCGTGTGAGTTTTTTTTTATGTCTTTCGTCTCTCAAAAGAAGCGGACTACACCATACAAGCCGTTCGTTGTATTTTTAACCGTCGTTCTTCTCAAGGGGATCAAAGGGTTAGTCGAGGGGCTCGTGAAGTTACTACGCTACAGGCGACATGTTCCTACTTAGATATTTTGAAGATCCATTATTGACACCTTTACAACAGATTCCAACATGTATGCCCAGACAACAACTATAACTGGAACACTGAAGGATTTAACCAAAGAAAATTACGAATCTTATTATCTAACTAACGTTTTATATTATTTTAAAGTTTGTAAAAGTACATTGTGTAGTTTATAGAGAGGATTTTAACTTTCTGAATAGAATAAGAAAAATTTGAATCACATATGGACACATACAAATATAGATATGTATAGATAATATTTGCTTCTGTGTGTGTGTGTGTGTGTGTGTGTGTGAACTTGGATTTTCACTCTGTATCATCAACACTAGATTTTCTAACACCAAAGTGAAATTCGATTGTTAACGACCTCGTTTTAACAGCGTGACCTTATCTACCAGCAAACTTTAACTGGTGTTCACAATGCTATATAAACCGCACATAACTGTGTGTATGTGTGCTACGGACAAAACTTTTTTTTTCAGCCAAAGCTCTGTAGAAAGAGAGCGCCACGGAGAAAGAAATCAATATAATAGAGCAAGAAGAAAATAGTTTGAGTAAGCTTCACGAAGGACTCAGCCTGCCGTTAGAGTTTTTCTTTTGCGTGGTACGTCTCTTAGTTTCCAGGAAAGCTTTTTCCATGTGGTGGGATATATATTTTACTTGTGCGGTCGTTAAATTTAGTAAAGTGATTTTTTTTTCTTAAAAAACTATATAGATGCTTGTTCATACGAGTAAAGAAACCGACTTAACTTTGAAACTTTTTTTTTTATCAGATATTATTTTACCACAAAGCTAGGGGACCATCTCTGCAGATTTATTGTGTAGTTATTTGTGTAATGTGCCAGGTTATATTGTGTTACTTCTAAGAGACATGGTTTACATGATGTCTGTAAACGCCTTTTTTTTTTTTTAATACCTACAGTGTATTATTCATCTGTGGTATATTCTGGTTACTTAGGTATAATACCAGAGATATCAGATGAATTAACATAATATTTATCTGTTTCCTCTTACAACATTAATTTTCCGTGTTCGAGACATATTTATATTTCTAGGGAGAGCCTCATGTTATCTTGGGAAATAACGGGAACTTGGATGTATATAGATACGTGATGTCTGGAACTAACCACATGGAGACGAAGTAAAACAAATCAGTCAAATGTGTTTGGTTGTGCATAGGGTGTGAATGTTGTTGGTTTTATAACTGTTTAACTTCCGCATAGCTAAGATGGACTTGACGTAATGAAATACACGTGTTTGTACACATAACACCAAAATGAATAAGAAAGAACAGTGGCGCTTGTCGTTGTACACGTAGGCGTTCCTCCATCTGTCTGTTGCGATGAGACTGTTGTACACGTACGTTTGTCCAGATATCTGTCCTTTGATGAGCGTTATTATACATGCCGATATCATTATTTAAACGTTTCTTTATCTGCGTCTCCTCTAATGAAAGTCGTTGTACACATAAATTTCTCTGTTTATTTATTTTGCGATGAAAATTGTTGCACATATTATAATCACACTGTCTGTTCATTCTTTCGTAAACATCATTGTACACGAAACTTTCTCTGTTTAATCTTTGACGGACTTCTTTATACAGCTGTCATTATCTTTCTGAAGAAAGTCTTTGTATCACGTGAGCGTTTCTACCCCTCCTATCTAGCTTTTGACAGCGATGGTGATCTGTCTGTGTATCACGCAAAGAAAACCTTTCGGTATATCGGCCTGTTTTTAGTTTTAGTTGGTACAATATTGAAGATACTTTGTGTAAAGCCGAGACGTTTTCAATGAAGTTTTAAAGAAAACAACTTCGTAAATTTATTGAATATAATGCCTTTTGTCAATACAAACATTTTGTGTTGAATTTTCAACTACAATGATACCTTGAAACATACTGAGATGTTCGTTAACGTGTTCGTTAACGAAACACCTCTACCTACTTTCGTTGTGTAATGTTCAAAATAACATTTTGTTATAATTAATTGATTATTCAAAAATAGCTGTCGTTTTCTATAGTTCTAATTTTAGTTTGAGAAAAATCCGCCGTCAGTTTTGTTTTCTAAAATGGTCAAAGGCTTACGCTAGTGCGTGTCCTACTACATTTGACTAATTTAACGAACAATCCTGAAATATGTAATTTACTTTTCAACAGAAACGTATAGAAAGGTGAAACAAAAATAGGAATTGAGCCAGTGCTTTTTGTATTGCTACTGTGATTATTAAATGTCTCGTAGTCGTTCATCTGAATTTTGTTTTCGATTTCATAAATGTTTCTAGACTGAGCCAAGGCAGTTCAAAATTTATCATCTGTACATCTTGATGTTTGGGTAATTAGATTTCGAGCAATCTTGAGTGTTCGCTTAGATACATCTCAAAACATGAACATGGCAGTTTACACGGTACTTATTTTAAACATTGTATCATATCGAACTGAAACTTACTTAACTGGAATCTAATTATTCTTTATTTTATGAAGCAGATTTTTTGTACTATCTAACTGAATAAAATATTTGTTTCATTTAGGTTACAGCGGAAGGATGTATGGAGAGCATCACAACGCCCCCTGCCGGCAACCAGGTAATAGCTTAGACCCTAGGATGACATTCAAATTACAGCTTCTACCTTTACACTTTTTATGATGTGTTATGATTTATAGGTGTTATTGCTGATATCATGTAAACATTTATATAAAAACAACCTAGTTCTTGTCAAGCAAGTAATTACAGAACAACCTCTGTTTTTGTGGACAGTTTTTACTTTTTATAAAACAACCTAGTTCTTGTCAAGCAAGTAATTACAGAACAACCTCTGTTTTTGTGGACAGTTTTTACTTTTTATAAAACAACCTAGTTCTTGTCAAGTAAGTAATTACAGAACAACCTCTGTTTTTGTGGACAGT